TTTTTTTTTTTTTCCCAAGATCTCAGTCTTTTTTGCAGACTGAGATCAAAGCATGTGAACCAATGTACAGGCAAAGGTGATACCCAACTCAGTGATTTAACCCAATGGAGTTAGTCATTATCTGCATTATGAAAGATACTGCATTCAACCTTCGATTCCATCTGGTTTAGATCAGGAATTGGAAGGAAATCTTTCAGCTCCATAAAATGTCCCCTTCTTACTGGTTATATGGAGAAAGTGTTCTTCACACTTTCGGAGTTCCTGGCTAAATCACAACTTTAAGGCATTCTAGAACTTTTCAGCAAATTTAGGTAGAGTTCACAAAGAATCTGGATCCACAAGAAATTTTTCTGAAAAACACAGCAGGGTCATTTGGGATACGACTTTCAAGCTGACCATTCATGGGTGTTTTTTCTTTTGAGATAAACTAAGTGATTTGTTTGCTTGCTTGTTTAAAAAGATGAAACATTCAGCAAGACAAACCTTGCTTGCCCTATTTCCTTGCTTCCATCATAGGCATCACAGTGATTAATAACTCTAAAGAGACACAGATGAAGAATTTCTCTTGCATCAATATTAAATCTGAAAGCTCCTTTATTTTCTCCTACTCAATCCAGCTGACTTGCTGCAGATTGTTGTGACATTCATCTTTCAGAAAAGCCAGCTCAGGCCCACTCTTTCTTCAAGCTCATTTAGGAGACAGGCTTGTTACTCCTACCAACCAAGTAAATATTTTTTCACTCTCTAGACACAAATGCTATTTTGTCAGCTCACACATAACATTTTTTTTGCTATATTTCACTGCTGATCAACACATTTTTGATATAGCAAGAAACTACAGCTTTTCCCTCTACATCTGCTATTCAGTACCTTCATTAACATTTCATTCAGATGTCTGAACAGAATAAGTACACATYGCTTACTACTAGCTCTTAACTCAGAGCAAACCAAATGGCAAGCAAAACTTTGATACTGGCCACTCACAGGACTTGCCACTGGTTGGCCCTAAGCATCAGCCATGTAAGGATACCATAAATAGGAGGTATAATTAAAAGCACAACTCACCACAACTTCTATTTTTCTATATTTCTAAAACTGCTCTTTACATTATGGTTGCCATAATAGGAGATATGGAGGACTATGGACCCGGGTGATCTGGGCTCTGGCTTTTGCAAAGCTTAGCAGGCAGTTTTCAGTGTGCACCTGCAGAACGCACCGCAGATTCCCTCGAGACAGCAGCCCAGTGATGGGGGGCTGCCTTTCCACAGCTTAGTCCCCTTATTGGTGGTAAGGCAGTGTTAACATATTATTCACCTCCGGGCCATACTGCAGGATGGAAGTCTAGGAAATGCTTGACAGCTGCCTTGTGAGGGACACTATAGAATGCAAACCATTAAAAGCCAGTGAACCCCAAAAATGCATTGCAGACCTGCTGAGCTATTCATTACCGTCCCCACATCTGCTGCCTGACACAGACCTACAGTCACACAAGCAGCATTGCCTTTGGGAACACGCTCCTTACAGTGCTGGGCTCTGCTTTCTGCTTTTTGAGTGACTTCACTACATTGTATTCTTGTTTCAGCACTGCAAGATGTCACTACTGACTCCTGAGCACGTCCAGAAGAGTCTGTCATCCCGGTGAAGGCTCAGCCTCTCAGGTACAGATGTTTGCAATAAGCCAGGACACGTTTTTCAAGCTACAAGAGAAGCATGTGCTTGTTGTCCAGGATACTGTAGCTAAGGAGACTAGGCTGGAACTACAGTGCAAAGCCCAGGTGGACACGGATGGCAGGGCCCGTTTGTCCTGTCCAAATGCCATGACTGAGCTCCTTCAACTGGTACCACATGATATATCAGCCACTGACCACTTTGCTCTTTTTCGTTTGCAGCCTGTCTCCACAGGCCAGCAGTCACCACAAGTCACAGTTCCTGATTTTCCATTCTATCACCATTTTCACACTGAATGAGATGAAACTTTCTTTTTTTCTGTACTGGCCATCTCCATACATGACAGTATAATTCACCTATAGTCACTGCTTTTCCTTGTCATTCCAGAGAAGGAAAATCTGCTCACCCTTGGCAGGGAACACTACAAAAGTGTGCGGACAGAAACAGYAATACCCACAGCCACATTTTGGAAAATTTCCTCTGCTGCTTTTGAGCTAGTTTTAAATTTCTGAGGAAAATAAAATTAAAGGAAAAGAAAATATTAACATATCTTACTTACGTGAATGTCTATAACACATAGGAACCTATTTATTACAGRTATTTATTAAACCAACAAAGCAACCAACAGCAAAAGAACTGTCCTTACTAATTTTTGCAGATCAGACAGAACAACAGTCACAAAACACTATTTACTGTACATTGTTGATTTTATTGTCAGCTCCTGAAAAATCAACCTCTTAAGAAGCAGACAGTACAAATCTAAAATTAAAAGATGAGATAAACCGAAGATTAGTGTGGTGGACTCTCTTCTGTACCGTACTGGTAACCTTTATGCACACAGTTGCTCAGCAATAAATGCAGCTCAAACAGTGACAAGTTCACCGCATCATTTATATATTAATATCTYGACCACTTGTTTTTCTGAAGCCCTGAGAAGTCCATCGTTGCCTCAAACGTTGTTTGAGCCACGTTTTATTGCTGAGAAAAGRCTCATACAATGAGTAAACAGTGTTGTTCCTCAAGTATTTATTTACCTTGCACGTTACAAGCCTTCATACTCCGTGTAGTTGTCTCTGACCTGAGGAGAAGACCCATCAGGGCGAGATGTTTTTCTCCATTCCTTGACATTGCACAAGCCTGCACTGCAGAGGAGAGGATGTAGAGCAGACTGTGCCAAGGCAAGGGATAACTATCTACGTAAGTGGGTTCTGGAGCTTGGTTGAAGGAAGCTCTGCACCAGGTAACCCATAAGAAAAGGGAAAGAGGATATTCTCCTGGTGTACAGAGGAGGAAATGCATCTGGAAAGAGAGAGTGACACAGTTTGTTATAATAGTCTCTCAGGGGCTCATTGKTAGAGTCCAGCCAGTCCTATGACCAAGATTTCCAAAAGTGCCCAGCTCCTACTAAATTGGTGCCCTCATCTATGTAAGACCTCATTTAAAAACCCAGCTCAGGGGTTGCAGCAGGTTGCGAGCAAGCAGGCCAGTCAGCCTGTGGACAGGCAGACTTTAACCTTAAACTCTATTGAYTAAAATGTGCCAAAAGAAAATTATGTTGGAGAAGAATCAATAATAAACTTTTCGTAAGAAATTAGGTAATGCTGTCAAAATTACTGACTCTTATGGCCAAAATCAAGAAGCTGGAAGATAGTTCTGGTAAGTCCTCTGATGACTCCATTGGTCATCCACAGAGCGACATCACTGCCTCATGGGCATGGCAGTTCATCCAGAAAGGAGAAGCAGGGGAGTAGGACAGGACTTGCCATGAGTTATGGCAGCTGCATAGAAGCCCMAAAAAAGTTGAACTGATTTTGAATATTTTCATACTTTTTCAAAACAGTTCCATGTAAGCCCTGCTGAGGATCAGAGTGTAGGTTTTTGCATGGCGATTACATCGCAAGCAAGTGTGTGTTCTGGTTGCACCAGCAAATTCATTTCACAGACCAACTTGCATAAGGTGTTCCTATGTTGGTGTTATGCAGTTAGTACGTCTTAGATTTCCCTCTGATATTTAGCTTGAATGAAGTTAAATGCAGCCTCACTCAGTACCTTCTGCTCACTTTTGGATCAAAACCTCACAGAATTACACATGATTTTTTTATTCTAACTGTAATTTGCCCAGTCTTCTTGAAATGCTACTCTGTTTTGTTAACATTGTTCAAGACACTGCACTGAGTTAAATCATAAAGCAAAGATATATTTAAAATCATGAGGTAATCTCAACACAAGCATATTGCAATAGAGCTGCACTGACTTAACAACAGTAAGAACCCTTGGCAAAGTAAATAACTCAATTTTATGGTCCAATACTCTAAATGAAAGGGAAATGAAAAAAAGACACAGGATCACTGGCATTCACTTCCCTGTCTCACTCTGCGGCATTGCTACCCTTTTGGCTTATCTCTTTTTAGCATAATGAAGCAACTATTTTTTCTTTCCTTTGCAGCTTTAACAAAATCCTTTGCAGCTGAAGAGAACAGATTAAGCACCTTTAAGGCTGCCTTCAGAAGACTGCAGTTCTATTTCCTTATCACCTTTTTGGATAATCTTGGGGCCCAGGATGAATAAAACAAGAGTCGTCAATGACGGTTTTCCTTTCGTGCACAGCAAGAACTGGAGCTCAAACCGGAGCTTCCCCACACACCTTTCAAACCAGTGCAGGAACATCACTGACCTTACTGCCTTTCTGGCCACGTCTTACAGTTTGGAGACAGTCCTAGGCATCGTGGGAAACATTTGTCTGATTGCTGTCATAGCCAGGCAGAAGGAAAAGGCCAACGTCACCAACATCCTAATTTCCAACTTAATAATTTCAGACTTGTTTATGAGTCTTGTCTGCCTGCCTTTCACCATTGTTTACACGATGATGGACTACTGGATATTTGGGGAGGTCATGTGCAAAATGACCTCTTTCACTCAGTGTACATCTGTGACAGTGTCGATTCTTTCTCTTGTCCTTATTGCTCTGGAAAGACATCAGCTCATCATAAAGCCAACTGGCTGGAGGCCAAGCGTCTCCCAAGCCTATCTAGGAATTGGAGTCATCTGGATTTTAGCGTGCCTCATGTCCCTGCCCTTTCTGACCACATCCATCTTGTCTAATGATTTGTATGGGCAGCTCTCATACATCATGAATTTTTCCACTGACAAGGTCATATGCATCGACTCATGGCCTTCCGAGCAGCACAGACTTATCTACACCACCACTTTGCTGCTCTTGCAATACTGCATCCCCCTCTTGTTCATCATGGTTTGCTATCTGCGTATCTACTTACGTCTGCAGAAGAGAAAGGACATGTTTGAGAAAAGCGAATATAGCAACCGAGCCGCTCAGCTGAGAAGGATAAACATTTTGTTAGCATCCATGGTCGCTGCTTTTGCTGTGTGCTGGTTACCACTGCATGTTTTCAACACCATTGAGGACTGGAATTACAGAATCATTTCACCTTGCCACCACAATCTGATCTTCTCATTGTGTCACCTGTTAGCCATGGCTTCCGCCTGTGTCAACCCTGTTATCTATGGTTTCCTAAATAGCAATTTCAAAAAAGAAGTGAAGTCACTGATTCTGAGCTGCCAGCATAATTCGGTAACTGCATCCATGGAGGAATATGACCATTTACCTTTATCCACCATGCAGACTGAAGTCTCCAAGGGCTCACTGTTGAATGGCAGGCACAATTCTATCTAGCAAAAAGCAAACATTTACAGAAAGATGTATGGAGCACACTGCAAACCAACTACTACCTGTTGGTATAAAAAGCAACTGATGATGCTATAACCAGGATATGAACAGGAGCCCATTACTGCCTGATTTTTGGAAGAAAGCACAAAGAAAGTTTGTAAGCATGTATGGTAGCTCCTACGGTGCACAAGTTGTTCATGTCACTGAGATGGTAAAGACAGGTAGAGAAGACTGGGCTGCTCTAACCACTGCATAACTATTGTGCGGATGCACACAAACTGACACTAAGTTCACCAGCCAAGCTCACATCTCTGTCACGACCGAGGCAGAAACCAAGACYGGCAGTACCAGTGCTGCAGCCTGCACAGAGCGCCGCCCAGCTACCCMGATTCTCATTCACTTTTCAGTATTAGTAAGTTCTGAGCCACTGTTGACAGAGCAGTGGAAATACAGACTTGTAAATACAGAAGATTTTGTGCTTTGCTGATTCTCACAGCTTACTAGGTAACACTAATCTTTCAGCAGATCTGGTTCATATCAAACTATTGGATGCCTGTTCACAATGTCTCTGTAGAGACACAAAACTACAATCCTGTTACTTAAAGACAACAGTTACTTATTGAGGAATGGTGGCAGATGAAAATAAACAGGATATCCAGATTCCTTCTGTTGTCAGTTAAAGCTCCTCAYGCTAAAAATGCATGCCATGATAATATGAGATGGCTGGATTACTGGAGATTTCCAAAACCTTAGTAGCAAGGTGCTACTGCTACTTCAGAGAAATGCTTTTCAGCTCTTTGGTACTCTAAATGCAGAGTATCCCATTTAGAAGATGGAAACAGGCACAATAAAAACAGCTCCAACAACTCTAGCTTTCTGGAGTGGTCCCACTCCCAAAGACATAAATCTGCATGGAGTCTTTCAGTTTCCTATTATAATACAACCACATGTCAGATATTAGACCCAAGAGGTGCTGAAAAGCTGAGTAATCAGTTAAAGGTCAACAAAAACACACAAGCAGAATCCAGATCAAGTTGAGACACATATCTGAAAGCCACGCTAGAGCATTATCAGTCACACTACTGAAGTGTGGATTTTTTATTAAAAAAAACATGAGAGCAACTGAGACATTGAGTGACTGCTAAGAAACCACGAAGTACATATGCTCAAGAAGCTCATGCTGAGGAAGTGATTAAAAAAAAAACACAGCAAGTGTAAAAATAAACAAACATTGTGAATCTTAATTCACTTCGCAGTAGGTCACTGCTAAAGATTTGTGGATTGTCTTCTGTCCTGAACTGTTAAGCTAATCCTAGCACAAGACTGAGCTCCTGAGTTCTAACCTGAATGATATTATCATAAACTGTCTTTTCTCATCATAGTCATTAGGTTTACATGGAATTGAAGCTATTCAATGTGCAGCTTTGTATCAAGCCAGAAATCCTTTAGGCTGGAAACTCTGATTATATGGACTAGTAAATAACAATGTGAAGGAAAAATCCTTTCCATGTTACAATTTGACAGGTCATACGGATGTTGGACAAAGTATTGAAAAATGAAGGTAAGAGCAAAATCTCATACTACAGACCAGCAAGAGCCATCAGCAAGAAGGGGATCATATCCTCAGCTGACAGAGGTGGAGTGAATCCTTTCCCAGCAGCTGAGAACACAAAAATAGGCAGCAGAATTCAGGCTGGGTCATTAAATTCTCAAGTTCAGAGTATTAATGCAAAAGCTGAGCTGACAACGTTCTGATTCTGTGCAGAACGAGTTTATCTCAGCGAGAGAGTTCATGTGCAAATGCCATTTGCATCTTCCCCAAACTATCTGGCAAGATATTTATGCTTCTTTCGAATGGACTTCTGCTTTGCTTTTCTTGTGCCAGTTATGATGAGGAGTTGTTTATCTTGATTCATTTGTATATAATGTCATTTCTAGTCTGGACACTGAGCCCATTAGAAACACAGAAAAAGAGGACTATTTTTTTTCTCATCTACAGTTCCAGTTTAAAATTTACTGTTGTAACGGAAAACATGTGGTGCTGATTAGTACAAAACACATTACGTTGTATTTGCATGCTTCAACACTCCTTCAGCTTTGTGGTGTCTTTGTATTTGGGAGTCAATTTCACCCAATTAGCTTTAARTAATCCTGTCCATTTCCTATACTTGTTACATTTTCACATTTAAGATATGTGTCAAACTATACTAAAAATATTCTGCTAAAAATGAACATAAAAGATTATCTGTAATCATTAATATACTACTTTTCAAGCGGCAGTGCTTTAAATTGAAGTAATCACCCTTAAAACTACATGTTCATTGAAGCAAAAATTTGTCAAAAATTGGCAGCCACGATCACAAGCACATGTGAAGCAATCAGATCCAACATTAGAATAACCCAGACTGTTACAAACGGGGATTTACTTTCCTTTAATGACTAAATAAAGTGTCAAGCTTTGAACCAAGTGCTGTTTGATGCTAGTGGACTCTCATCTGGAGAAACTGCTGGACTTAGGCATTAAAATCCACCATTTCCCACTCATGCATCTAATTGCAAAATTCAGATAATCAAAACTCCCCATCAGCTGCTGCCTCTTCACCTCCTTACATACCCTCTGAAGGCACATGTGCTTCAACTTCCTAAGTTCTATAGGTAGCTAAATACACCCTTTAAAGTAAAACCAGAAAAAAAGAAGTTCCAAAGGGCCAAATGTCTACGCCACGTTAAGCCTTAACAGTATTTACACACTGGGAATCCTTCCATCCATCCTTCCATCACGTGTCTTCACCGCCACTTCTTCTTTACATTTGAACATAAAGCCTTGCAAAGCTAAGCAGGTAGCTATGCACAAAAGCAGAGGAAGTTATTAAGCTGTTAGTTTTTAAAAACCTCTCTTGCAGTTGTTTCCTTTGAAGGCAAAGGAAAGGCTGGATGTGATTATAACCTATACACTTGTTGAAACAGCTGTTTTTGTCACTTTGAGAATTTAATGTGACCAAGACAGTTTCTGTTGCTTTAGTTCCAGCAAAGAGTAACAGGACAGAACKAGCAAACATACATTTGTAGAAAAACTAATAATATTCATATTTAAGAAAGATCAAACTTTATTGTTTGTGTTGTGCTGCAATGATGGTTTAAAACATGCTCTTTACAAAGTTCTGCCACTGAATTACAAAGGAAATGTGGAGGAACTATGCAAGAGGCATTATGTGAATCATGAGTTCAGAACACTTTCCARTCTTACCCCAACTTCTCTTTTTRAAACCTTCTCATGATTCGCCTCTTGTGACACATTGTAAGAACACAGAGCTTCCTAGCAAGCAAACAACTTTTTCCTGTGATGTTAAGTGGCACACTTTGGGAAATCTAATAATAAAAATCAAAGCAACATTGCCTACATTGCTGAATTTCTCTGTGCCTGCTACTATAAAATGGCATAGTACTATTTACAGCGTAAACTACATAAGATTTAGTTCTCAGCAAGGTCCAAGTGGGAGGGAAAAGAAGTTTTACCATATGCACATAAAGGGTCACCGATATGTGAAGGATTAGTAACTTGATGTGTTATTCCTCAGGATAAATATGGTGCTCAGCCAAAGGTATCAAATATTTGACACAGGGCATTTCAATTTCCTGATCACAAGGCTTGACTCACCTTAGGCTTGCTTGAATTTGACAGGACTCTATGCAACCTACGGTCACAAACCATAATGAGAAACCCAATCAGAAAACTTAGGTTGCCTGTATCAACATTTTACTGAACCTCATATAAGCTGATGGGGTCAAAAGAATGAGTGCACTTTTATGAGCTGGGTTCCCTGCCCAACAGRGTAAAACCAGATGAGAGGATGATCACAGGTCGTGCTTTAACAAGCACAGGTTGCTTTTTATTACATCAACCCATGTGCAGCAGTGATGCCTGCTACACCCAGGTGTCTCATTGCAGGACACAGATGCAAGGCTGTTATCACGGGATGCTCAGCATAGACCTGCATGGGAGAGCTGTTCCCAGCAGGGCCAATGCCAGCGTGTGCTGGTTTCAGATGAAGACCATGCACACCAACAGCAACCATCTACACCGCTTGCTCTAAATTCAGGAATCACAACCTCAGGACCCACCGAGGACTCCTCTGTGACAATAACTGTCTTTGACACACRTGACTTCTTGCACGTTCACCTGACCTTTTCTTTGCAGGCTCATCTCCAAGAATTACTTGTCTGATTTTCAGGGATACAAGGCACTGATTTCAATGAAAATTGTTGCTTAGCACCATGGATAATCCGGGTTTACATTTTACAAACGTCAACATGCATGTAGCTTTTATGAGTTTCCCCCACTATCTCAGTTTGTTTAACAAAGTCGCTGCTTTGAACTCAGGAAGTCATAAGTAAGATAAGACCGAGATTTATATTTTTGTGTAAGGCCTTTTCCTGACAGACAGTGCTCATTAGGCTTTAGTCAGAATTGTTGTGTTACTCTTCCAATAAAGGTTTAGCAACCTTGGAACCCARTAGCTGCATAGAGATTATGCATCAGAAATCAGAAATTTATGATATTAAACATCAGTGTTTTCTGCTAGGCTAAAATTGACAAGACCCAACCAGTCAATCCATTTGGGTATATATATAATAACAACTAGTTAAATAGTGCAATAGTTTTCATCCTGTATGGCAAGAAATATTTTATTCAGTAACAATCAGAATACAGATATATATAGCACCTATTTTTCTGCCTACTGGCAAAATATGGTGGGTTATGTTAGACAAGGTGACATAATGACAGTAATATGGATACATGCTATTTACTAGATTATCACAGATGCAAATACAGCCTAATTCTGTCCACCTCGAGCTGTAACACTTAGCAGTAGAAATACAGTTTTGTCAATCAAAAGCTATGATGGCATGCAGAACATGAAACTTGCACTTTAACTTTTAAAAATAGGACTAAGTTTTGTCATTTAAATCCCAGATAAAAGCCATTTTGTCCTTGGATTACAATCATGTTAGTTTATGAGTTATTGGGTCCCATATGCAGACTATGGGAATATAAAGCCTACCTGTCAACAGCTGGACAAACACTCCATCATACATGAGTATCTATCTTGATTCCGTTTTATTACAGGGTGACTGCACACAGAATGTACTTATCCCACATTATGTGTGTAGCACAGCAATGACCATTGATTTATCTACTTGCCAAGGCTGTCTTAAAAACTAAAAATAATTACGTGTACCAAGTATTTATTTCAAGGCAGGTTATAGAACAGTACCTGAAGTCCTAAAGGACAATCTCTGTCAGTGTAATCAATCAGGACAGCAATATATGAAGCATGTGAAGATTAACATATACAATACAAATCTTTGAATTTCTCTGCAATATGGGCCACTGAGTAACAGGTACACTACGTATTTTTTAGTATCAGAAAACACTAAGAACKTCTAAAAACAGGTCACAAGGATGAGAAAGAGTTCCTCATTCGGCAAAAAGTTGCAGCACAAATTTCTTTACCTGACAATAATTGCTCTGTTTGCTGCTCTACAGACTGGTCAATAAGCTTCTCTTAAGTATGAGAAGCTGTGTGATATACTTCTGATATACACTATGTGTTATAGTGTATACTGTATAGTGCTGCGTGATACTTGGTTACATGGGCCTTTGTTACAACTATCATAAATTCAATATTTTTTTTACTAGAAGTCATTAGGAAAGAGATAGCAGCAAGTACTTGTGTGTGCAGAGAGGCTAGATAAGCATAAGGAACAGACTTAATATGGCATGACTAATGTCTTACTTCGAGGAGGTTACATAAAGTATTATTTTTTAGACCTGGAAACAAATTAATTGATGCTGCTGCTATGATTCAGCCATCATCTGGACTGGCTGTATTCATTCTGGTCTCAGTAGTCTATTTTTACAGGTAGGAAATGAAAATATGCAGTGATGCTTATTTTTAAGTGTGCTTATCAGTGGCAATCTCTCATTTTATGCTAAGAGCAAACGATGCTGAATATTTCCTTTTATAGAGAGCTACAAATAAGATACCCATAAGTATTAATAAAGTCCCAGAAATATCTATTTWTAATCAAACTTATAAAACAGCAATTCTAATAGTGAGGAAAATATAATCGCTTATTTTAATGGATGCTTAAAAAAAAAATCACTGTCCTGCTAGGAAAGATTAGTCATGTTGCACCCCATAGTGACATATACTAACTGAGAACAACTAGCAGGCATTAAAAAGTTACAGATATTCCTTAGAAACCCTAAAGATATGTGTAATACTTTGGGAACTTTTACTTGTTCTTCTTTAAAAACAAATAGAAAGGGGCTTAATGTCACTCAGAAGCAATACCAACCTTCCTGGAACAGGAAGSCAATCACTAAGCCAATTTTCACATTTTAAATAGCATTACAAACACATCATTGCAACCTTGAAGGAAGAGAGGTTCTATGAGGATGCTTGCTGTTAATACCTGTTCTTTGTTGGCCGTGCCAGAGAGGGAGCTATCATCCCATCAGTCCTTGAAGCGCCAATCTGGAACCAAATTATGCACTCGAGTGCCATCCACCACAGGCTCCATCAAGTAACTGCGCCTCAGACACTGCTGACTTTTAACTAAGAACTCCTCCCTATACTCTAAGGGCAGTTTGATACATCCAAGTTGATGTTTTGGTTGACTGTCCTTAACTACTGCAAGTTCTTCATACAGAAAAGGCAGAACTTTTACTCCCACCTATACTTATCAGAATGACAGCACTTGCTGGAGACCTTGCTGGAGGATCAGACACTCAAAGTACAATGCATTCCACAACACATTTCACAAAAGGGTAAATTTTCCCACAGAAATGCTACTGGCTGCATGTCTGAGGATCAGACCAGCCTTCTGGAGGCCACTCTTCTGCAAAAGCCCTGCAGTTCCAGCAAACTTGCCTTCCTCTTGTGCATTTAGAGGGGAGAAAAGGTTTATAAAAGCAGCTGTGCAAGATCTCCACAAGCTCACAGCTCCAAGAGACAGTGTGAGCTAGGACCGTTCAAAGGACATGACACTTGTTCCCGGAACTGGTCATGACTTAGTGCTTGAC